TGTGCGCAATTAATTTTTTCCAAATTTATTAACTCATCCCCCCTCCCATGTTTATAAAAGTGCATTAGGAAATTAAAGGACAGTATCAGGTCACCTTTTTAGTTAAAGAATAACTCAACCAAACTTTATATTATATATAAGAGGTGGTTACACCAGAAATAATTACATGGGTGGGATGTAAACTATTTGACTTCATCTTAGACTGTGGTTTGTGAGTTTGGAAAATTTGCAATTGCCTCTCAATGACACTCAGTCTTCAGCTGTGCTGACACAGGGCCTTAAACATATATCTCAGCAATGAGCCATCTCCCACCCCCAAGCTCATTGTGTGCTGAAAAAAATACTTGTCATCAAAAAGCTTGGAGCTTTTTTTATATAAAAATAAACTTCTGCTCCAATGTCCCAAAGGTGCTTTTTTCAAGAGGCAACTGGACTTTCTGATTTTTCCTTGAAGACGTTTTGCTTCTCATCCAAGAAGCTTCTTCAGCTCTGACTGGATGGTGGGGAATGGAAGGATTCCATGACCATGACCTGGATGACTGAGAATCTCCATAGACATTTTGTTCCAATGCATCTGTGGGTTTTTTAATTGAAAAGCAGGGAAAACATGTTTAAATAAATATAAATGTATTTGTTGCAGATGTGTTTGCTTTTTTTCTGAATTCCATTTCCATTAGAAGGACAATCACATGTTCAAATTGGTAGCTGCTAAACTCATACACTGTTGTTAATTTCTGAAGGTGGAAATTCCAGAACGTAAATATCTGCTTAATATGGAAGTTTTGGCCCCTTTTTGCAGATGATTGGAAATGAGGCTTATTCACTAATTATAAGTAATTGTGTCTTCTCAGAAATAAGCTTTTTTTTAAAATATCAGACATAAGTTATGAATTTGAAAATAAGTTTGAAAGCTGAGCTATGTCCTGTATGCTTTTCATAACATTTTCCGTGCAAAACAGAAGACAGTACCAGCATCTTCTTTTTTTTCAAGTTTTTTTAAATATATCAATGGGTGAAATAAAACTAATAAAATTGATCATAATTATTACATTCAGTCAACTATATGTATTTGCAATAATAATACACATTTATATTAAGCTATAGTCCATCATTATTCAATTATTCTGTATTATATCTTGTTATTTCTTTTATTATTATCAAGTGTATACACGAATATCCCCGCTTCTCTTATTGCTATCACTTAATCTAGCTTTTAATCATGTCACACTTTATTTTTTTTTTTAAAAACTTTTTTTGTCTATCCTAACTTCTAGTCATGTCACCTGCCTAAAAAGAAAAGAGAAAAGAGAGAGGGAGAAAGGGAAAAGCAAATCATAACAACAGCAAAAAAAAAAAAAAAGGATCATCCATCCATTGTCTCTTGCCTGCTTCGATATTTTAATTGCTATGCTTTAAAAGAAAGAGAGAGAAAAGCAAAAGCAAATCAGAACAATAAAAAAACAAATAATCATCTATCCATTGTCTCTTGCCCACTTCAATACTTTGATTGGAGGGGTTTAAGCTTATATATAAGTGATATTAGGGTTCTTTATGAGTATGAGTATATTATAGGGAAGTCTGGGGGGAGGGGAGGGTTAGGGAGGGTTAGGGAGGTTGGGAAGTTTGGAGGGGGGGGTGGGGGAGAAAAGGGGTGAAAATGTAATTGTAAAACTTTTGCAATAAAAAAAAATACTTTGATTGTTATGCTTTTTCTATTGATTTGCCTCCCCAATTCTTCTCTTAAATCTTTATCTCTATATACTTCTGTTTCCTGGCTATTTTTTATTTGATTTTTATTTGATTTATATGCCACCCTTCTCCGGAGACTCAGGGTGGCTTACAATGCGTTAAGCAATAGCCTTCATACTTTTGTATATTTATACAAAGTCAGCTTATTCCCCCCACAAACTGGGTCCTCATTTAACCTACCTTAGAAAGGATGGAAGGCTGAGTCAACCTTGAGCCTGGTGAGATTCGAACCAGCAGTAAATTGCAGGCAGCTGTGTTAATAACAGGGTGCATAGACCACTGTACTATCAAGGCTCTTGATATTCAATCTAAGCACTTCTCCCGCCTCTACCCTCTTCCACTGCCCAGTTTCTAAGGTTTCTACCAGACCCTTGTCTCCCTTTCAAACATACCTTCCAACTCTCTTAATATATTTCCCCCCTAGTTTAATTCATCAATCACTGTTATTTTTATTGTTGTTTCCTCTTTGTCTTCTTCTTCCTTTGTTTCTTCTGTTGATTCCTCCCTTTCCTGGGAGGCTTCGTCTTTACTCATCATCCCTCATATGGCGTTTTCCATTTTGTCCATAATCTCCTTAAATCCTTTCTCCATGATGTCTTTTGTATTTTGAAAAAGTAACTCCATCTCCTTCAGAATTCTGCTCATTTCTTTCTTATAAAATATCTTATTTTGTTTTAAAAGATTCAAGTTTTATCCAACAGTCCACAAACTATTTGTTCAGTCCAGAGGTGGGATTCACTTACCTTCCCTATCAGTTCGCAAATGTGAGCGCGCAAACACGGTCACTTTTTTGGGCTGTGCCCCCATGACATTGCTTTCATTTGGGTTCTAGTCCATGAGTGAGAGAGGCTTAATTCACTGCAGTATGCTTTCCCCCATTATCTTGACGTTGTGTAAGGCCAGCCTCACAGTGTGTAAAATCAGTTTTATCCTGTGTTTCCTGGCAAGGAAATCAGGTGGTTGTAGTGACTTGAAAACAAGATGCAGGAAATCGATTAGCAGTGGGAAAAGCAAATTTTCTGCTGGTAATTTTCGGCTGTGTCAAGTATGGACTGAAAGACTTTTAACTTGGCAATGGGAAAAAGGCCCCTTGAGTCAGGAAAAAAACAGCTATGCTAGCAAAATATCTTGCAAATTTTGTGACAGAGATAGTATGAGAAAAGTTTAATAATTTGTTACACTGTTAACAGTAGATCATGGGAATACATTATTGCCATTCCATTCTTTCACAAGGGAAGCTGATTTTTTGTTTGTTTGTTTCTGGCCTTAACTTTTTAGTCATCCATTTATCCACCCAAATCACTAAATTTTAACTGAAAAAGAAGAAATGAAAGGTTGCATTGGCAAGAAAAACTAAAGTACTGGGAGATTAAAAGAGATTGCAGCTCTGTACTGGGGCTCCTCCTTTCTCCTTTATTTATTATTACTTTGAATAGTTTCACTGTTTTGCTTTTTTTCAAAGTTCCTTAGGGAAAACTTCTTTAGGCTTTCCTGTTGTAGAAGAATGATTTTCCTGCTGTGAAAATGTCTTCCCTTTTGTGTTATAAGGGTATTCATGACTGTTTTCCTAAGCTAGCTTTCTGAGGTTGGATATTTGGGTCATGAAGAATTTGGCAGTAATTCAGTTTTCTTTCCAATTGTGAAAGGTTTTCCCCCCGTGTTATGAATATATTTATATACAGAGAGAGAGAAAATGAGAAAGATTATTGTAATCTTGTTCACTTCTTGTTGAGATTCAGGTTCTACGACTTTATTTTTAATTCTCCCTCCCCCCTTTAACTTCATTTGGATTACTTTCCAACCAGGACATTCCTGAAGTCTGTACTTTGGATTTTCAACTACAGTTTCAAAGTTTTCACTAGAGCCTACAGGAGTTTGTTGCTTGAATCCCAGCTGTGGACCAGGTAATTATAATTCTTTCTCTCTTTCTTTCTGCTAAATGTCTGGAAAGTCTAGAATTGTATTTAATTAGAGGAAGTTTAGGTTAAGGTGCAATAAAGTGGGACCGGAGAGCAACAAACAAGAAAAACTGCTACTTAAAGTCAACCCCTGGTGCTTCATGGTTTTTATCATAAGAGCTGGGACACCTTTGCAAGCCTTTTCAGCCTGGTGGATCTTTTTAGCTGAAGCCCATTCAGCACTTCCTACATTGGAAGTATTAGTGGGATTAGTTTTCTGAACTCCAAGATGGCATGCCTGAGAGGACCAATGAGAAATCTGTCAGAGAAAAGGAACAGTTTTGGACCTAGAACATGGTTTTATCGTTTCTTTAGATTTGTATTGCTGATGGGAACCACCCAAGAGTTTTCTATGAGTGGATCTGGATCATTAGGGCCCACTCCCTAAAGCTGATGTGAAAAATTGTAGCCCCATACAATCCCAGTTAGAAAACTAGTAGTTAAAATTGTTCTGTCCAACAACAAACCAATTATTATCACCAGTTTTTTTAATCAATTGTTACTGTACCTTACTTATATTAATGCTTTAATTCAGCTCCTTTTCATCTTGCTTTTTCCAGTAGAGTCTGGGAAACTTTACATTAAACTTTGCATGTTGTAACTGCTCCATCTTGTGGTTTCATTACTCCATTTCCCTTTGTCCTTTTTATATACATAATACATTACATTTTCCCTGAAATGTTTGTTTATGCGTACTACTTAATTTGTCCTTTAATATGCCTTAAAAATATCTACTTTTTGACTCCAAACTTTTTACATGAAATATTCAAAATGATTGCTTTCTGTCCAGATTTAATTAGAACTGCAGTTTCAAACATTCATTTCCTAAACCTGTTTGAAACGGCCATCTAGGTGGCAGCCTAACCAATTTGATTTGATCCTGAAAAGCTAAACAAGGTTGAACATATTTATTATTTGGATGGGAGACAACCAAGAAATATGAGGGCTGAAGATGTATTGGAATTTTAAAAAACCATACACGTCGACGAGTCAAGCCTGAATCAAAGTAGACTTTACCTCAGGACTGTTTGATTAGCAATCTATCTTCAGCCATGTATATGGTTAATACCTGGGTATGGAATGTTAGCTTGGTATAGCTCAATCTGGAAGCTGAGGAGATTAATGTCCTGTTCTTTTTATGCAATTCTTTTCTTTTTGTACACCTTGCCTTGTTCTCTTCATCCCTTTCTAGAGCCCTCAGAAAAATTACATGTGAATTATATATATTTTAAAGCAGTTCTCAAAAAATGCAAGGAATGTTTTGTAATGGTATGTGCAAATGACCTCTGAAAGCAGGGTGAAGAGCCACAGCCAGGGAAACAGTAGGACAAAGAGGCAGTTTAGCCCATAGAAGGAATTTGGGAATGTTAAGTATCTCAGAAGAGAACCGCCCCAGTTTCTTGAGCTATAAAGGCAACAGGAGAGAAATATACTTTCAGACTCACAAAATTCTGTTAATGTAACCTTATAATAAAGAGTTCTGTTGTGTTGATCCTATACAGCCATCCAAAGATTTCTGGAGAGATGCACTTAATCTCTCCAGCTATCAATTCACCAGCTATCTTTCCAGCTATCAATTCGCAGAACCCCAAAAAATTGTGACTATATTATTCAACCAAAGCTCAAGTCTATTTGCTATTCTTCTACTATTCATCTAACTGTGAGTTCCTTATCTAACCGCCTTTCATTTTACTTGTGTCTAAGAACATCAGGGCCATCCATCCCAGCAAATTTCCTTAAAATAAGGATGATCAACTCATGATTCATTGGCTATGTATGGTCCCCAAACTCAGCTTTGCAACCTCCTGGATTTCATTGCCAAAATCCAATAGCAAAATTAGGAATGGGAGTGGCTTGCAACACAGAACAGAACAAACCGAAGCTCCTCAATTATATAGGGAGTTTAATTATCAACTTTGTTTAGCATCTCTCCAATCTAAATGGCTGTTAAAATTGAATCCATCCATCACTGCTCTTAAGCTGTAAATAATAAAAGCTGGGGGTGGGGGGAGAAAGGCTCCAAGCACCATCCAGCAGCTATACCCAATGCCTGCAGTCCTGCAATTCTGCCACAGGAAGAGTCACTGGGTAGAATTGCCAATAGGGGTATGGCTGTTTGGAAGCTGCACGGTAAACTTCCTAGCCAAGAGACCCAACCATCTCACCTGCCTTGGCTAGAAACCAATGTGTACCTACCTTCCCCTCTAAGGATGCTATCATTCTCATTATTTCAGGATTCCAACTGAAGTGGTCAGGGCAACCCCACCACTTCCTTCTTAGGCAATCGCCACATGTCATTCCATGGGTGGTGTTTAAAATCTTACAAGCGTGTAATTAGATGAATTCATTCTTGTGGCTTAATCATGTGTGCCCCTCATACACTGATATAAACAAGGAGCTCCACCCATTGCTACCATAACCCCTTTAGCTTAATCTCCTGATTGTTTTCTAGGTGTAGCACCACCACCAGATGCTCATGGGGACTGAGTCAGATTCTTGCACAGTCAGAACATTTCCTTGAGATGACCTAGACTGCTACTCTTTAGGATTCCCAATTGACCTAGATAAAAGAAATGCTACCTTACTATCTCCAGGATTTTATTGAACAGGCACATGTGGAATTATCACAGGAAAGGCCCAACTCAAGCGTCAAACATGCTGCTTCTCTGCACAGCAATGAAACACAAGAGTAAACTATCTTTAAGGCAGCCTCTCCCAACCTTAAAATTTGGGATGATGGGAGTTGTAGTCAACTTTTCTCAATAGCCCTATAGTCCAATAGTCCAATAACTGCATCCCTATCTGTCATAGCACTAGAGGAACCTAGTGCCTTAGAAGAATTCAAGATGCTCAAAGAGAAAACCGCCAAGATCCAAAACATGGATGAAGTACATTGCTGAGTCCAATTACCTGACATTGTACGTAGCTGGAAGGCCGTGGGAAGACTCTGGCTCATTCAGTTCATTCCCTTCTCAGTCTTGCCATCTCTTGCTCTGCAATGCTCTGAGCTGGATCTCCAGATTGGTGTGAGCGATTTTATTTTCCATCACTGCAGGGCTGGGGGGCTAGTGGTGGATGCGTATCAAGAGAGGTTTTTGTTCCCTCCAATGAGCAGCAAAGCAGGGAGGAGAGTGAATCAGATAAAGGCTTGGTTGGATGAAAGCAGCACATGCTAGAATCATCTGGTGCTCACGTCCATGCAGCCAACACCCATCGATTAATGAGCCCGATAAGCAGGTGACCAGGGGCAGTAGTCCTGGGACCACCTCCTGGGCTGAAGTAATATTGCTAAAGCCAGAGGGCAAAAAGCTTCCTCTGAGGTACGGTGGCCATGACAGCTCTAATTGTTGTTAGCATTTCTCATAGAAAGAGAAACAGAAGCCATGATGGAAGAGCTTAAGTCTGTTTCTAGGGTCAAGTGAGCAGGGGGCTCCTGGTCAGCTCCTGGGTGCCTTTCCATGTTGTATCAAAGAGGAGGGTTCCTCAAATGCCATTTTTTCTGACCCCTGGCAATTTAATAACAGGATGGAATACCTTTGCACATTTTCTTTTCTACATAGGAAATGATTGCAGGTGTAGGAACTGTCTTCTCCCCAACCAAACTTTCTTTGCCTGCTATTGTCTGAGCTGCCAGGTGGCTAAGGCCACTCTTTTTTCTAGGAATGTTATCTGGAGAATCTGTGCAATAGGGAATTCAGAGTAACAGTAATTTTGGCTTCCTGAGGTATTTAACAACATGGTGGGCACATAATACTCCCAAAGATCCATCAGAAAAGATTATCAACTCTTTGTAATTAAATGGCTTTTCCTTGATTTTTAGATGATTAGAATCACAGAGAGAGATAACCCAGGACAAGATGCATAAACCTGCCACACAGATATTATATCTGCTATGAATGCTCTCTGATTCATGTTCATAGACTTGCAAGATTCATTAATTCAAAGGATAATTTAAGAGAAAACTACAGCTACTTTTATAAAAAAGACTAGAAACCTTTTATAGACTGTTTTTCTGAAAATGAGTAAATTTGAATGCTGATTTCAGGATTTATTGATTAAAAAGTTTTTTTTATGGGAAGAAAGGAATTGTGATATACAATATGGGAGGGTAGAGATGGTAATTGCTACATTTATAACTGCTGCAAAGAAGATTTAGATCTCTCTTTTTTCTTCCTTTTTTGTTATTTGCTTTTTTTCTATTTCTTCCTCTATGTTTCTGTAGTTTTTAAAAATCTTTTATTAAAAAAATATTTATTAAAAACTTAATTCAGCAGAGGACAATGCCTTAATCTTAAGTGGTGCAAAGGTGGTACTTTTGGCTACAACTTTCAATGTACAATTGACCTAGGAAGGTGGCTTTGCAATGATTGAGTTTCTATATTTTGTTAAATTGGTTTATTTAATCCTAGTTTGATGAGTAATCACGGTAGTGCTAAGCCACATAATGGCTTAGTATAATTTTAAAATCCAGCCATGACATTGGCAGATATCTCATATGACAATGTTAAATAGTTCAAGGATAATGCATACACTGCCATTTCTCTGGAATCATGCTTTTGCTGGGTCCATAAACATTTTGATTCTTGCCTTCCATTACCTCCTCAAATACGTAAGTTTTAATTCAAAACTCAGTTCCCTGGAGTGGGACTTTCCTAGCCTGCACATATTTTATTTAGATCTATGAACTGTACTTGGCTTTCATATTTCACATCTGGAGAAGGATGCAAAGGTACTCTAAAGCCAGATGCAAAATGGCAATTTTGAGAGAAACAATCACCAGCCAAACTCTGAGGATGATTGACACATCCAGGTGCCAACAGGAGACCTTGTTCCTCCCCCCCTATTGTTGCCTGGGCAAGGGCATGGAGTGGATCACAAGGGAGATGGCAAGTGAATGGTCAATATGGACTGTAGTAGCAGGACCTGACGCACTGAGGCCTTCCTGGCCAAGGGGCCTTCAAAGTCTGGGTTAGATTTGGGATGAGCCCCAGGAACATATAAAAATCAGGCTGGATTAATAACATATATGTGTGTAATAGCCTTAGCAGATCAAGCCCACTGAAGAAGAAAAGTGGGCTAGTACAGGGGCAGCTGTCTGGTCTTCCTTCCCCTCCTTCTGTTTAGCCTTCAGGCTCCTGGATGTGGCCCTCATTTTCTCACCATCCATCTTCTCCTGCCAAGCTAGTGACAGTTACGCCTGGTCCTTTCTCACACCTGCTCATTTCATTGCTCAATACCTGCCTAGCAGTTATATTAGAGCTGCCATGGGTGGTGACAGAGGGAGATAAATGGGCAGCCAAGAAGAGGAGAGGGAGAGACAAATCGAGGATGAGGGTGAAGAGCTGGTGCTATGAGAAAGAGGGAGGGGGGGGGAATCTCTTGCCAGAAAGAAGAAGAGTTCGGGGAAGTCACTGGTTTGAAAACAGGCCTCAGCTAAGGCATTTTGGAAGCAGCCAAGAACAGCAAAGACATGTCCCATTCCCAAAAAGGCATAAAAGGGCTTTATGCGCCACAGTTCCAAAAGCATCAGCGAAAAGAAGGAACATTCCTCTAGTTTCATGTCACACCGCTTAGGATAGTGTTTCCCAACCATAGCAGCTTGAAGATACGTGAACCAATTTTTCAGTCAGCAAACTGCTCTAGGCGTGGAGGGCAAAATTGCTCATTCTATCCCTTTGTATCATGGGATAGCAGTATTATTGCAGAGGCCCCAACTTCTTTTGAGCCCATGGGCATACATGAAATTTAAAAGGCATGTTAGCAGCACTCTCACAAAATGGTGACTGCATTTCACTGCTTGAGCACAATAAACCCAGTTTCCAGAAGGCAAATTGCTAAAGTTGTTTCTTCCAGACCACTCTGTCATTCCAGGATGTTCTTCATACAGCAGTCTCTTTTCTGGACAGTTAGACAAACTTTGAAACAATAAAGCCTACTATTGTTTCGATTTTCTAAGAATGCCTCTGAGGACTAATGATATATGGAGACTAAAGGTACTCTATGGAGTAAACAATGTTTATTTGAAATATTTTAACTTCCCATCTACTCTACTAAGTGGCAATACTGACTGACCTAGGCAAATTTAGAAAAGGCTAAGCAGGGTTCACATGGTTGCTACTTGGAAGGAAGGAAATATCAGAGCTGTACACCTGACCAAAAATTGGACAAACATCCTGGATGAAGACTATTACAAATTCCTCATGTAGCATTTGCCAAGAAAGTTGTGTGATGTTGTCCATAAAGTCATTAGGGTTTAGGCTTGACTCAAAATTAAAAAGAAGCAGCTGCTATTTAAAAAAACAAAGCAGGAACACTATTTCTATGCCTTTCATTACACAGCTCTTAACTGAGGATTCAAATATCCTAAATTTAAACAATTGCCATTGGGAATTCTTTAATCTGAAAGCTGTAATCTACATCAAATATAAAGTAGTGAATTTTCTTGTTGAGTCTGTCATTCAGCCAATGGGTCCTCTTTGTTCTAAAGCTTACCCTTGAATTTGGAAATGATTATTATTCTGTTTGTTTGCTGTTGTTGTTTTTTATTCTGCTTGCATACCCTGTACTTTTTTGTTCTTAGATTTAGCCCAGCAAGCTTGGAAGTGTAACTGCTAGTGTTAAGGATACCCATCTCAATGATAGTGATTACACTTCAGCTGAGTAGTAAAATATAATAGCAATTATAAATAGGGTGTAAAAGTCAACAGAGATCCAGTTTGGTTTAGTAGCTAAAACCAGTTGGGAGAGACCCTCTCTCTCTTAATTCTGGGAACCATTTCTGAATGTTGCCAGGAAAAATGCAAGGATTAAAGTCGATCTAAAAATAAGGGGGAGGAGGAGGAAGAGGAAGAGGAGGAGGAAGAGGAAGAAGAAGAGGAGGAAGAGGAAGAGGAAGAAGAAGAAGAGGAAGAGGAAGAGGAGGAGGAGGAGGAAAAAGAAGAAGAAGCTACATTGGATATACAAACCAGCTGATATTTTACCAAACCAAAAGAGTGACCTGGATAAGTTTGTTTTACTGGATCTTCAAAAGAGATCTGTTAAAGTTGTGAAAAATTTTGTAAGAAAAGGTGAAGAAAAAATGCGAAGAAATCATATTTCCGGACTTTGAATGGATTAAGATTCAACATATTTTTATATTAAAAACAGAGAGGAGAAATATAAAAAGAACAGGATTGTTAAAAGTAAAAGGAAGAAATATAAAGTTGGTTTATTTGATCAAGGTTAAAATAGATATATTGTTATATCTGGTAATTCTTAATTGACTTTTGCTGACCAGGACAGAACCACAAGGCTTTAAAGATTTGTTTATAGATTTGAGACCTGGGAAAGAGAGATCATTTGTCGAATTTTAAAAGAAAGTGATGTTACTAACATTATTTATACCTGTTATAAATTGAGTCTCCATTGTTGTATTAAAACATTGCAGAACTGGGTACTGGGGAAGATTTAAAGGTAAGATTAGGGGCTTGGCTCAATGGGTTGCAGATGAGAATTCTTCAGTATTGCTAAAGAGGGTTGTTGATAATCCCATGTGGTCTTTTTCACAACAGAGTCTAAAACCCAGTCATGTCACATCCACAATACCTTCCTCCCTTGAGACGCATAGCAATATGCGGGGGCACTCATGGGAATGAAATGTCAGGTGTTTACCTAGTCAAGCACTGGCTACAGGATCCATTTGAGTTGCAACGCAGCACCTTTCAGGTCACACCTTTTGTGGGCAACCCCCGTGCAGTCGAGCAGTGTGTGCGCTACATTGGGAGGGATCTTAATTGTACGTTTGCTGCAGCTTTTCTAAAGTAAGTATTATGCTTTGCTCCAATCTCTAGAAGTTTTGTAGGGGACACAAAGACTACCCTTTACAGGAGCTATTGGGAAAGGCAACATACTGACGCTCACATTTCTTTGTGTCAAATCTGAAGATGCTTAGATGTCTAAACCCTCACTTAAGGTTTGTTGCCATAAGACTTTAAACTCACCTTCCTCAGTCTGAGGCCCTCCAAAACTGCTAGCATATCTCCATCTCCAACCAATTCCAGCCAAAGTGGCTTTAATCATGCTGGCTAGAACAGTAGAAGTTGGAGCCCAATATATCTGCATAGTACCAGATTAGAAGAAGCATCTGCTCCCTATCAGACCTACCAGACTATCATTGTTTTGAACATCTCTTTCTCAGTACCAAGGCTTCAGATTCAGACCTTCATGAGATTCAACGTGCTCAGGAGATCAACCAGATCTTTGGACCCAAAGGTTCATCTCAAGCCTATGATTTTATGTTAGATCTACACAACACCACAGCCAACATGGGTTCCTGCCTCTTACTGAAGTCTGAATTTAGCCTGTTGTCCATACACGTGTGTAACTACATCCAGGTGAGGTCATGTTCCTGAAATTTCCTAAGAATCTAATTTTTCTCCTCTTCTCAAGAAAAGAAAGCTGAGATTTCTAAAAACAAACCAACCCTATCTTCTTTTCTCCTGCCTTTGCAGAAACACTGTACAGTGAGACACTGTCCCATCTTACTCTGTCAACAATCTGGAGAGGAGACTACTTTCATGATGTCAGTGGCTAAACACGGGCTAGGTGAGGAATAGTTCTCAGCCTGGTGACCCTTCCTAGAAGTTTCCTGGAAAGAAGTATACAGAATGTCTGGAAAAGATGCATATAGCTCATGAATTTCAGTTGCAACAGCAGTTGTTTCAAACCAACTCTTACGTACATTGGTCTTTTTTGATATTGGCTTCTTAATCCCATTTCTTTGTTGACATCTTTGTATAATACAGTGACAGTATCAAAGAGCTGCTTTCTATGGTGAGAGATTTAAAAATATTCTATTAAAAATATCCAGTTGGTTGCTTTTTGCTGGAAGAGATTGAGAGAGCTCAAATTAAGCAAGATAAGATTGGAATGATGTTTTCTCACATTATTTAGTTTTACACAACTAAAAACCTTGTGTGTCCAATCACACTTGGCCAATAAAGAATTCTGTTCTATTCTATTCTATTCTATTCTATTCTATTCTATTCTATTCTATTCTATTCTATTCTATTCTATTCTATTCTATTATTCTAAACTAATGAAGATGTAATTCACATCTTTCCCACCTGTTTCCAAACTCTTACTTTATTCAAATCTTGTTTTCTTTTAGCATAACTTATTTGACTTTCTCTTGAATGCATATTAAGTCAGCTGTTAATAATATAGGCTGTTTCCAGCAATTATTTATCCAAACAGTATAATTATATTATGAATTAAGGTAAAGGTAAAGGTTCCCCTCACACATATGTGCTAGTCATTCCTGACTCTAGGGGGCAGTGCTCATCTCCATTTCAAAGCTGAAGAGCCAGCCCTGTCTGAAGACGTCTCCGTGGTCATGTGGCCGGCATGACTAAATGCCAAAGGCGCATGGAATGCTATTACCATCCCACCAAAGGTGGTCCCTATTTTTCTACTTACATTTTTTATGTGCTTTTGAACTTCTAGGTTGGCAGAAGCTGGAACAAGTAACGGGAGCTCACCCTGTTATGCGGCACTAGGGTTTTGAACCGCTGAACTGCCGACCTTTCGATCGACAAGCTCAGCGTCTTAGCTACTGAGCCACCATGTCCCTATTGGTCATTTCCACATTAGTAAATGTCTATGGAGATTCTTAATCATCCAGGTCACAGTTGTCCCAAAGGTGCTTTTTCAAAAGGTAGCTGGACTTTCTTAAAATAGTCCAGTTGCCCTTTGGAAAAATCATCTTTGGATCCTACATTAGTAGTTTGTAATGTTTTCCAATATCTCATAGGTATTCTCCAAGCAAAAAGTGGGAAATATTGCAGTTCTTGCTTTGCCACATGTGATCTATCAAGAAGGAAAGGTGCATGAAAGGTAAACAAAGGCATTCCACCTAATTCCATAATCCCCTCCCATTTTCTTCCTATAATCCCCTACAGCATTAGAGTTGGGCCCACAACCCCAGGGAGTGGCACGAGCTGACCAGCTTGCTAAGATGAGAACGATTGTGGCCTGTGTTTTGGACTTCATTGAGCTTTTTAACAAAGGTGACCTATTTTGATTCTTGGGACTGAGAAGCTCCAAAAACGTGAGTGAGAATATTAACCTTAATGAGACCAATTTTGGAGATTATCAGAATGTCACAGTTTTAATGATAAAACAATGAAAGCCATGGCAACAAGCTTTCCCTTTGTCAAAATAAGAGTGGGGAAAAAAAACCCCAACGGTGTGCTATCAACCAACCATCATGCATTTTTCAGTAATATGTCTGGAAATATAGTCCTGTTTCGCTCATGTGTCACACTCTAGTGTTCTGTCATGAGATTTATGCTGATCAGGCTCTTGCCTGGCATGAGTTTTAAAATAAAATTCAGTACCTTCAGATGCAGAAGCTGACAAACATCTGAATAGTGATCATCAATTGCCCAGGGTGGTGGGGAAGGAATTTGTCCATCTTCCTGCCTCACAGAGTCCTGATTGTGAAGACTGAGAATAAACTTTGTGTGATCTGGTTGTCGGTCTGCTTCTTTTTTGTTAGGCACCTTGTTCCCAGCCTTTGAAATTGAGGCATACATACCAGTTGAACAGAAGGACTTCCCCCGTTATCCCAATGGGGAGATTTCTGCTGTAATACATCCAAATCTGCAGGTGAGTATAAGGAGAAGAAGGAAAGAAGAGAGGGCCTATGTTTGTGTGGGTATGTGTGAGAATTAGTGCATGTGTGCGTGCACACACTATTTGCAGCTTTCTGGCTGCTCTTTGCACCATAATAGAACATTGAGTGCCTAAAACTTTGGACGTCTGTATATGAGCATTTTGCACCTGTATGATCACCTTTGGACCCGTGCAATCACATCCTATCAGGTAGCTTTCACAGCTGTCTATTTTTTTTCCTGGGCACCTCTGCATTTTATTTGAAATTAGAGCAATTTGACTTTTCCCCTCTTGCAACACTTCATATTGTAGCTGCTCCATTTGGGAAGGGATTTTTTTTGTCCATCCCTCCTCCTAGATTCTTTCTCTTTTCTCTTTTCTTTTTTTTAAAGTTTTATTAATTTTCTATTGTTTACATTTTGTTAGTGCTTAATAAACATTGTGTTGTCTGGGTTATTTTATTTGCTTAGCAGTACAGATTACATTTCTAATCTTCACCCCTTGTTTCCAACCACTGGTAGAATAAGTTCCAGATTCTTTTTCTGTGATAACTCAGGGCACGGCACAGAGATAACACAAACAGCTGGCAGTTCAAACTGTCCCTTTATTGCTCTAAATCTCCCCAAATGCTCCCATGTTTCTGGAAAGTCCCAGAGCAGAGTGATAACAAACCCCCACACAAACCTCAAGCAGCCTCTGACTGCAATTAGTCCAGCCCAGTGCTGTCTGCACCAAGGCTGCACAGCAATAAATCCAAATGTATTTGGCAAATTAAGGGCAAATCAAGGAGTTCAGGGAGCATAAGATCCAGGTAATTAGTCCAGAATGCCAAAAGGAATGCAAGGCCTCTTGGCAAGTTCAAACATCGGCATGCAACACCTGAGAAACTCAGCATTTGTTTCTGACAAATGCCCCTCCCCACAGCATCTCATTAAGTCTCATTCCTCAGGTGTGCCTGATGAAGATGGGCAGGGCACTCTCCTCCCAAGTAGCCTGCTCAGTCTGCGCTGATCACGCCTTGTCTGCACTCTCCGAGCCCTTGGATCAGGAGGGGGTGGTCCTTGCTCCTCGTCTGAGCTCTATCTCTCATGTTCACCCTGCCTCTGTTCCTCCCTGCCTGCAGGCCTTACTAATACTGAAAAGCCTTGCCTGGACTGACTCTGTTTTTCCCCAGTTTCCTCTACAGCCAAGGGAGCTGCCCTCTCAATCGCTGTCAGTTCTTGTTCCATCTTCCCCCGCAGATTCAGACTCCGACGGGGGCATGACATTCTCTTTTCTTGATACATACTGCTATTCCTTACAACTTTAGAAGGTTTTTAATGCAATAAAATGAATGTGATCCCCCCCCTTTCAATTAGCAATAAAATCCACTACCGAGCAGAATCAAAATCAAAACATCTACAGCAATGTATAAAATCAAGAACCATAGCAACAGGGATCCACCAGCAAATGCCTGTGTTTTCTTCATATGTTGAATGGGGATGTGGGGATGTTTGTAACATTAGAATACCGAGGAGTGGGCTGTGGAAACACTCTTTTCTGCATCTCCTCTTGGAAAGTGAAAGAGCACGCCTTTGCTTTTGCAGGATCTCAGGGTTTCAGGGCCAGGAGAAATTAGGAGGATTGCTGTTCAGCTCCAATAACTGCCTTGTGAGGGAGTGGAAACGTTGTGCTAGGGAACTGGAGTTTAATAAGCATGTGAAACAGTGAGGTTTGGTAAATGTGCCATAGCACTTGCAAGACAGAGGAAAATTTCACTTGTCAGAATGTTCTTTCCTTGACTTTGGGTTCTCTGATCACCGAGTTGTCTGCTTGAGTAGTATAGAGAGCGTAGGATAATAACATATCAGACTCCAAGGAAGTCTGCAATTAATCATCCAACAGTGACAGTGCTCATTACAACAGTTTCATCTCCTGCAAGGATTGTTTCCAGCTCATCAGAGGATACTACACGGGGGAGGAGAGGGGGATGCTTGCTTTGTGAAAAACCTTCCGGCTATTTTGTTCTTGGTATATAGCATCAAATCATCTCCCTTAGGATAAAGATTTCCAGCCCCTGAAACCTGGGGACCCAGTTTTCCAGACTTTCGATGGAGAGGATATTCTACATGATGGTGACGATACCTTCTTCCCAGTCTTCATCAATGAAGCAGCCTACTATGAGAAGAAAACAGCCTTTTGGAAGACAAAAAAGGAAACATTCACCAAACCGGCACTGCAGAAGGCATTTTAAGTATGATGAGTTGGTTAATAATCAAAGGCAATTGAAGTTTCTGTGTTGTACACGTTCTAAGAATCAGTGATACTGGAGAAAATTTATGTGGTCACTAAGAATCAGCACCAAACTGATGACAAATAATGAAAGAAGTTATGCATGGCTTAGTCCATGTAACAAACAATTACTTGTTAGTAATTGATGATAATTATTTGTTAGTTTATTGCCTCATGCAATTATCTCCCATGCTGGGGCAATATAGTGTGCATTTCTCCAAAACAAAGATGTGCCCTTGTGATGGAATGTAGTGAGGATTCCCAAGAGGGAGGAATGCAGTTTGGAGGAATAAGAGACAACTCAGTCTGGATATTTTGTGTGAGAGAAAGAGGGCAAAGACAGCCCCTCCCTAATAGTTCTCAGAATATATGGCAGATGCAAATAGTAGCATGCTTAGTCTGGCAATATTCTGTCTATAGGTGTGGAACCAATAAAGAACTAAGCTTGAAAGAATCACTAGTTTCATTCTCGGTTTTGGGGCCTGACAGTCCTCGAGGTTTTATTTGAGTATTTTGTGCAAGATTGGTGCTTAATATTCCACCTCATTTCTAGGATAATCTTTTGATGTATGTGCAGCAAACTTGATATATTGGATGAGCCAGGAAAAAATATTGTCTCTCAGATTTAAATCATCTAGGCCGAGGGGATCCCAAACTCTTCAGATGCTTAACCTCTCCATGACATTTCAGTTTGTTCATTGACCTCCCCACTTGAATAGTTATTATATGAAATTCATTTAATAAATATTTTATAATAGTACTATGAAAAATAACAATAACAAATGATAGATAAGTGACACCAGTAACAACACACAGCTGATAGAGACAATTCCAGGACATTCTTGTAGGTGACTGATGATTGAACTTTGCATAACACTTTCTTGCCACTAGCCACCTCACTTTCAGGATTAGGGACTGGGGTGGAAACCCCCAAAGAATAATCAACTTTCTATCATTCACTATTGTAATGTCCCTCCCTCTCATAATGTTGTGGGGAGGTTGAGCAAGCATAGGAGATTGCTTTGAATAACAGGTTTGGCTGTCTCTCAGTGTTCCAACTAACATCTCCCAAACATAGAGATGCTAGACCTACTAGCTGAACCTTTTTCTGAACATGGGTCTAAGGACTTTTTTCAGAAAAAATGCTAAACTCATATTTTAAAAAATGCTGAGAAGTAACAGGCAAAGAGGAGACATGCGAGGTGAAATGGGAAGTAACTGTGGAAGCTCTGTCTTTCTGGAGTTGTATTTGATGTTTTTATCTGTTCCTGTCTGCTGCGTGACAGGGAGAACAGACACAGAAACAGGACTTTCTTCCTGCGTGAAACAATGTTTGTGGTTAGTCTTAACCCCACAGCCAAGCTACACATTCCTTTTGTTTCTGCCCAGTTTTCTTTCACAGGTAGACTGATTAGATGATAAGGGATGCTACTTCTTTTGGGGAAATTGTTTCTTGAGGTAAAGAAGCAAAGAAACTGTGGTCTGGAGTGTTGTGCCCATTCCTGAGGAAAACTGACTCAATGTTCCAGTGATACCTCAATGAGGTATCACTGGAAGGGTTTTCAGAAGCTTCAACTGGTGCAAAGGAGTTATGGGTGTTTACCTGTGGGATCATATTATTTCTATCCTGCCATACATCTTTTAGTTGCTAAATATTTATGAGTATAATTACACTTGTTGATAGTTACCTATAATGTCCTAGCTAAATCAAGGATCCCAAGTAGAAGCTCATGTCACACCAGTCTGCCTACCCATTAAGACCAAGCTGAGGAGGCTTTCTATGTTTCTATCCATGGTGGAGGATCAATTGATTGGACAAAGAACATTGTCTATAGACACACCACTGTTTTGGAAAATGAAATTCTGAAGACCTCATTCTCAATTTTAAAGTAAGAAGCAAGCTTTTAATTTGTCAGGCTGAAGTGATTTTAACTAAGACTTTGTTCTGTCTGCCAGATGTGTCATACTATTACATTTTTATTTCATCTGTGGTCTAATATTGTGAATTTTAATTATCACCAGTTAGACTTAACACACGACCTTGAGAAAAACAAAATACAAATATTTCAATTATGCTTCATACAATTTCAATATGTAACATTGCAGTTGTTCAGTAACACAGCCAGACTCTGACTCTGTTTTTGCATATGCAAAAACATACATATAACTAATATGTATGCAACTGTCAAAAGAAAAATAAATATATTTATGGTTGCATATGGTGATCTTCAACTTTTTTCCAAATTTCAAGTTGACATTGAATTCATGTAATTTCTGGGAAGCATTTCAGGATTGCTCTTTGGAATTATGATAGCTTTGTTTACAAATCCAAAGCTGACTTTATTTTTGGGATACTGAAATAGGACACACATCCTTATAGGTTCCTGTGAGGGGTCTTCATGAATGAGATCTATGAGTCTCTTTCCCTTTATTTTAAAGAGACTTGTCATTCATTTATTTATTTTGCTCTGAGGGAATTTAAAAAATACATCATTCAGCTCAACAGAATATACAGTATTTGGATGAATGAACTATTAACTTCAAACAGTTTAAGTCTCCAGGAATGTTGAGCTGATGGTGGAGGGTGGGGGTGGGAATGTCACAGGAAATCAAAGTACACCTGGGTATGGCTCCATACCTGGACAGAATTTGCCAGGCCTTGCCACACATAGATATGGGTCCTGAAGTGCTTTCTGTTCCTAACAAGCAAAGATGGTACCAGGTGAGTTCTCTAGGCTTAACCCAGCCATTTTGCCTCAAAACACAAAATCTTTCTGCACACACAGTTAGTATCTGCTCCCTGAGATACTTTGGATCCAGACTTGGGGAAAGAGAATTTCACTTCCTGTTGTGATGTTCTTATCTCTAGGAAGTGAAAAAAGCTGGCAGCAGAAACCAATTCCCTCTCATTACTGAGTGAGGTAATTCTGGAAACAAAAAGACATCCCCATTCTTCTCCTCTGGTTCTTGTTACACAGATGACAGCATCATGACAAACTCTGAAAGAGACAGAAAGCGTCATCAATCATGTTTCTGAGGAGTTCTCATTTTCTTCTCAATCAATATCTCCGTCTCAGGGGGTCTATTTGATTCCCTCTATTCTGGCAATGATTTGGGTGGTTGTTAGTAAAAGAGGAGGGATGTGTAATCATAGCTTTCTAGCAAGAATGAGGCAAGGGACAAAGATCCAAAGCATGGGTGGGCCTTAGGAAGAGGGATAGTGTTATAAACCATCATAGCTGCATCCTAGTCCTTGGGAAAATCACAACAGGCATTACAGCCTATCAGTGTGATAATTCCTTCATGTATAGAATGGACTATATTGTGGAAGTCTTAATCTAGTTTCCTGGCACAATTCCCTCCTCCCTACCAAAATTCATCTGTGTTTATGAGTCCTTAGATCCTTAGGTCCTTAGAACAGATGCATGTCTTGGTGATCACAATATTTTTAAGAGTTGCAGTTCTCGTTTATGTTCCATGGAAAAGGTGCTGCTACTTATATACAAAAGATGATCAAAGGAGATAGTCAACCTTATCCAACCGTGAATTTTGAAATTGACCCATATTCTCTGATAACTAGTACCAGTAGTTACGAAATTCACTACAGACCATACAAAGCTTCAAAGGGAAGCAAGCAGTGGCCACAATCTCTGCTTCCATTAAAGATGTAATGAGTAGCAAAGGATTATGTTTTTTTAATGCACATTAAATGCATTAAAATGAAAGAGTTCTAGTTCAAACTTGTGCATATCTTTATAGATAAAATTGAAAACAGATGATTACTGTATGGCTCCTACTGGAACTTACAGTTGCAGTGCTATCCATTTCTGGAAACCTGCAGCTTTTCTACCAGTAGACTATTTCTTTAATTTGGTAGGCCTTCTTTAAACAATTGAGCCAATGCTGTCCTGTACTATTTGAGATGCATCTATTCAACATTAAAAAAAAATTGTCTCTGATATAGTGCTTTGTTTCTAGAAAACAGATCCTGCCTTTCAAGAATGCAGTATTTTAAGGGGAAAGAGTTAACAAAACATGTGTTGATTTTTCTTACCATCAAAGTCCACTTTTCCATCTCCATTGAGATCTACATCCTGCAGGATCTCATCCAACTCTTGGGCATTGAGTTGCTCATCTAAGAGAGCAGTCACAGCTTGGCGCAGCTCTAAACTGCTGATAGCTCCATCTCCATCTGTATCAAACTAGAGAAAAAAGGAATTGCCTGAGAACTGACTGCATTTACTTCCCACTCAAACATCTGTTGCGGCACCAGCTCTTTGGAACAATTTCTCCCTGGAAGGGTTTGGAATGCCTACTCATATTGAGATGATATTTAAACACTTGGCTCCTTCCCCAAGCTCTGGGAGAGATTCGTGTCATGCCTACTGGTGTGTAGTTTGTCTTGACTACAGCATATTGTTCCCTATTATGTTCAATTTAACATTTTTCTATATATTTCTTTTTCCTATTTTTAAATGTTGTATTGGTTCAATTGCATGCTATTCAGAGTTTATCTTCAGCAGGCCATCTTTATACATCTAAATTATAAATAAATCTTCCTTTCTTTTTTATTCTCCATCTAATCTTCCCATTCTTATTTTCCTCCTCTACCTCCTCTTCTGAAGTGTATTCAAACTCTCATATCTTGCTATTTTTTCTGTTCTCTCTCCTAAATGACAGACAGTTGGCATGTGCTTAGATAATTGCACAAGAATAACATCAGCATGAGAACTCCTTTGCAACACTGACATTTTGTGTACTGAGGGAGAGGGGATTTAATGGCAGTGCAATTTTCCTTCCCACAGACTTCTTCCTCCCATTTCCTCCTTTATTTTTGAAAAAAAATTTTTTAAAAAATCATGTTGCATAAAATGGACATTGCTACCATTTTTGGAAATGCAATCTCAAGGTGTTGCAACCCTGTTTGGAGTGCAAAGGAGACATGTAGCTCAAGGGCCACTGACCAAGATCATGATAAGATTGTGACTATCATGGGTGCAGAATGCCAGCATAGAATAGAATAGAATAGAATAGAATAGAATAGAATAGAATAGAATAGAATAGAATAGAATAGAATAGAATAGAATAGAATAGAATAGAACAGAATTCTTTATTGGCAAATTCCTTGTGTGTGATTGGACACACAAGGAATTTGTCTTGGTGCATACACTCTCAGTGTACATAAAAGAAAAGATACATTTGTCAAGAATCATAAGGTACAACACTTAATGATAGTTATAAGGAAATAGTCAATATAAATCTTAAGGATATCAGCAACAATATTTAGTGACTATGCCATGGAATTAATGATTGTCCTTGAAGTTTTCAAGTTAATTAATCAATTACTGTGTGGCCACCCATTTTTTATCTTCCTTTCCTCTTTGACCTGAGTTTGGTTGAGCTCTGCTCTGACAGAAATCAGACTCATTTCCTGATCACAGAAAGAAAATCAAACAATTTCTTAGCCATTTGCTTTTCCTTGCCTTGCTTCATCTGGTTGTCTTACGTACAGACAACACAAGGCTTTTGGAAACTAGCCAGATCTTTGAATGAACTCGAAAGGAAATGTGAGGGAAAATAAAAATAATGCTTAAGGGAACGAAGTCTTTGGACATGATATCATAGAAGGACTAGCCTCCAGGAAAGAAGTATTTTCAAAAGTCTGGAACTATGAATGATGTCATTAAAGGGTTGGTTTTCTGGAAAAAATGGACTTTCTACAATACAGAAGCAAATGAAAGAAGAATAAAAATGTCTTGCCTCATCTCCAGACTGGTAGACAGACAGGTATCATCTGAATATCTTATTTTTATATAATCAAGCATTTTGCTGATGTAGCAAATGGCATATTGAAAGAAACTTAGGGCCTCTTCCTAAAGCAAAAGGGGGCCGATGTGTTGGATGACATGTAGAAGGTAAGAATGGCATCGTATCTTCTCTTGAAATGGCCCAGAAAGTTAACCTAGTGTCTTCCGTCCCATTCACAGTAAGGGCCCCAGATTCCATCATTTTCAGTCTTATCAGCATAAGTTTAGCAGGACTAGGAAGTGGGCCCCTTCTCCCTCAGTTGCCCCCTCTCTATTCCTGGTAAGATTACTCAGTAAGTGTCTCTGTTCTACATATTTCACATCTTGAAATAATTAAATGACCATTGTTATTTAACTTAATTCTTTTCCAGTAATAAAGTAGCAGCATACAGTAACTGTGCTGTATTTTCTACCTAAGGGGGCAAGCATATTTCTAACCAAAGCCTCATTTCTTCCATTTCATAAAATAATTTAGTACCAATAATTAGGGAAATATCATGCGTGGGTTTCAGCACAACTTTACATATTCAGTTCATAACTTGGCTATCATACCTCACGGAAGGCGATCTTCAGCTCCCTCACACCCACCATATGAGCTGTTTCCTCAAGCACTTTGGGTCTCATCATCTCTACAAACTCCTCAAAATCTATACGCCCTCCCACTAAGAGGAAAGATAACAAGAAGTGATTAGTTCAATTAATGGAAGAAGCACTTTTGAATGTGGTAGGAGATGGTGTTACTAGTTATATAAACTACCTTTCTTCAATATATTTATTTTATTTATTTATTAGATTTATATGAAATTAAGAGTTTCATATACATTTAGTAAGTTGGAACAGACCAAAAGCAGAATGCTAATCTAGCATTCTGTTTTCCCACAATAGCTAACTTTCAGAACTCTGTAAATTCTTACCATACCTATAGAAAAAGAATGAGATTAGCATGCTCTTGTGATTACATGATTACCTGTTCTCTAGCAGTTTATACCTATTCCTTTAGCATCAGTTCCATAAAACAAAATAAAAGACAACACATGGGGTAACATGATGATTGAAAGTGTTACTTGGAGATTAACATTTCTTCAACTTTATTGAAATGGTTTATGGGTAATTTAAGAAGCAATATAATGAGCTACGAACATAACTCTGAATCAAATTTACATCTTCTAAATAACATTTCATCCCTATGCATAAATATGATGTAATGTAATGTCTATACATCACATTTCTCTGCTGAGGTGAACTGCACTCGTACCCACTCCTGCTTCTTCACAGTTCTTGCACTGACCTCGGAAGCAGGAGTTTTACAAAAATTATTATCACTTTTCCCCTAAAAGATTTTTATGGAAATTAAACAGAGCTTTTACAAGTCTGCCGTATAGTTCACAGAATAACTGCGACTCAAAACACTTTTGGAAGCAGCACCTGGATATGTCAGTAGAAATGGTGGGAAAAGGAAGAAAATGGAAGCCGAGCAGAGCCACTTTGCATACAACTGAGGAAAAAAAGCAATAGCTTAGCAGCCAGAGACCAATTATATTATTCAGATCTAAGCTGATGTTTATTCTTTTAATTAAAAACATACTAGAAAACCAATTTGATTCTAGAAAATATCATTCTTACTAAACATGAACTATGAAATGTTAAGTCATGCAATCCATTTTGATTTGGGATTTATTTTTGCACATTTAAATGCATATGTATAGGACGGAGCCAAAACACATCCAGCATATATAGAAAAAATGGTGCATATACTGTATGCGTACTCAATTGATACAATTGTGCATTGCAATCGGGACTTGTGAAAGAACCTGAAACTTGAAGAATTGTTAGATGTCTTTTACAACCAGTTCTTAATTATTTTTTCATGTTATCTGCTGCTCAAAAACCTGAGCAGTTTTCTATCAACTGCAACTAAAATTATCAATTGCGAACTAAATCAGGACCCCTGTATACTGAGACTGAGAAACGACCTGATACTGACATGGTTACCTCAGCAGCCTTGTCAGCAGCACTCCATCCTCTGATTATTATTGACTGTGAGCCTTGGAACCTGGAGAAGCACATAAATATTCAACTCACTGCGCATTTTGATGTGCTGGGAGACCTCCAGTAGCTCCATCTCTGTGGGCATGTAGCCCATGGTTCGCATGCAATCTCCCAGATCTTTGTAGCTGAGGAAGCCATCCTGATCCGTATCAAATTCCTTGAAAGCATCTAGCAGCTCTGCCAGGAAAGGCCAAAAACAACAACAAAACACACCTTTGCAGACATGAAGAAAAGATTCCTGCCTTGACTTTTGTTCTCCCATTGGGGATTCAGGAAAGACCCATGGCCTTGGAAGGCAAGCGTGCCCTTGGGGACTGTTACAGCCACAGCCATTCAGAGGTTGCCAGAAACTGGAGAGGTTGGCTTTAAGCCAGGGATGTCAAACTCAAGGCCCATGAGCCAAATGTGGCCTGCGGGGTGCTTAGATCTGGCCCATGGGGCCATCCTGGAAATGGCGAAAGACTGGTCTGCAATGCCTCTGCGAGCAAGAACAGAGCTCGGGAGGACCGACTACAGCCCTCCCAGGCTCCGTTTTCAGCCGGAACAGCCTCCTGCAACCCTCTGCCAGTGAAAAATGGAGTTCGGGGGGGCCCCCCCAAGCTCCATTTTTGCTGGCAGAGGGCTGCAGGAGGACATCGCAGCCAAAAACTGGAGCTTGGGAGCCCATTTTCACTGACAGAGAGCTCGGGCTACCACAGGTGCCCCCAACATGAGTGATGTCAAGCTGGCCACACCCACCCTGGCCACGCCCACCCCAGCCCCCAAGGTCAAACACAACCCTGATGCAGCCCTCAATGAAATCAAGTTTGACACCGCTGCTTTAAGCTAACAAGCACAAGTAATCTTTGTAGAGCTGTACTGCTTGGATAGTGTGTCTGTCATAATCATTCTGACAAATAAAATTGCCATGTTGGCTAATATGGAACTATCATGACCATTTACAGTTTGCAGGAGAGTCAGTTTATTACCTTAATAAAGTCCTATACTGTACATAAAGAATTATTATTATCACTGATTTTCCTTTCTGTACTTTCTTGTCTTCTAATATAAATCTTTACCATCTTTCCTCCTTAAATAACAAAAAAGAAAAAAATTCTAAAAGGAAAGCAAATATGCTTTTAAGATAATATTTATTGATAGGCAGGTAGTCTTCAACTTACAACCATTCATTTAGTGACCATTCAAAGTTACCTCACTGAAAAAACAATGATTTATGACTGGTTTTCACACTTAGGACCATTGCAGCACCCCTATGGTCACCTGATCAAAATGTGATTCAACTTGGCAACTGGCATGTATTTATGACAGTTGCAGTGTCCTGGAGTCATGTGATCACCTTTTGCAATCTTTCCCAGTTAGCTTCTGATAAGCAAAGTCAACGTGGGAAGCTAGATTCGCTTTATGACTGCGTAATTCACTTAACAACTGCAATGATTTGCTTAATAAATGTGGCTAAAACAAATTATAAAATGGAGCACAACCCACTTAACAACTGCCTTGCTTAGAACAGAAATGTTGGGCTCAATTGTGGTCATTACATGAAAACAATTACTAACTACCTGTAAACAACATCATAAAGTTTTTAAAATTTGGATTCCCCCCCCCCTTTTTTTTTGCAACAAGACTCATTTGGCTACAGGTCTGGAAACTTCTTGATGATTTATGCATTTTGCCTAGTTGATGGCAATTCATAAATAGCCAGAATAAATGACAATGGCTAAACTGGGTCTGTCTCATATTTTTACTTGCCCATCAAGAACTGCTCATCCTCCATTGGTCACTCCCTTTCTTAAAAAATGCCTGGGATACTTACTTAACAAACTAATTTTTGATTAAATCACAAACTAGAATATTCTTTGGTCTGATGAAACTATTTGAAATTCTAAATAATTAAATCAAATTAATTAAATTAATTAAGTCTTCTCAAAAATGGACACTGAAAAAGAACTAAAGTTATGGAAGTGGAGACTGGGAACTGGGTAAATCCATAAAAAAATCCTTTTGACTGATCAGCAGTGAAAAAGTGAGGACTGCATCTCCCCCTCATGGCCAAAATCCAAAGTCCACCCCATCGTGTTCCCAAAACATTGCCAACTCACCATCCAGTTCCAATGTGGAAAGCTCTCTCTCCTAGAAAAAGATGAAGAAGAAGAGGAGGAGGAGGAGAGAAAAAAAGAAAAAATATCTATTATATATATCTCTCATCTTTTCTTCAAAAACTAAAAGGTGATATAACAACATATCCCACTTTACCACCTGAAAACCGGAAGTGAGGAGTATAGGGAATGTACAAAAGAAGGGAGGGAAAATTAATAAGTAACCTTTATTATAGTTTCAGCCATATAAAGTTAAGATTTAGCATGCTGAAGAAATTTTACTAGAGCTTTTTACCAGCAAAGAAGGATTTGCCAAGAGACACGTTGTCCCTGAAAAAGCCTCCTTTATGCCTATGGAAAGATTGGAGGTGTTCAAATCCCATCAGGATGCCAGGATCTCCCAGTCTGAAGCTGATTTGGTTAATCCTTCTTACTGCTTTCACTGCAGGAAAATCTCAAAAAGTTCTACAAAGCTGAAAAGCATATTAAAAAGGGGAGAAACATTTTTGTTGTCTCTGGAATTTGCACTATTACAAAAAAGGACTATCTCTGTAATGTTTAATGTAATCTGCATAAGATGAAAAGAAGTCCCAAGTGAGCAGAAGTTTTCAGAAAGCATCTTAAATGAACAATAAATAACAAATTGAAGAAAACATGTCCAAAATAAATGCTGGTAGCTTTGGATTGGTAACACAGTACAAAATTATGTTTTTCGCAGGATCCAGGAAGAGAGGATCCAGCTTTTACTTTTCAATAGCTTTTAATAGCAATTTTATCTTTCAAACAACGAATGTCGGTGAGGAACACCATGAGGAAAATACCCAAAACTAGGCTATTGAAAAACAAGAGGAATTTTCAACTTGTGAAAAGTTCCAACATTTATTGAAATTCAAGTCTCATTAGACAAAAACACGAAGTAGAGCAAGCCCCCCTCCTCCCCAAAAAAGACTATTCAGACACTGGGAGGATTATTTTTTTTTTAAACGAGAAGAAAAAGATATATACAAAATTCAGTTATGGCCATTGTTTTACTATTAAAGTCATATTTTCGCTACAAGTGTCCTCAAAAGTCCCATCTCTGATTGACATGGGGGAAAGCTTGGATAAAGAGTTGAGGACATTAAAACACCCCCTCCCAAATACTTACATACTTCCACCCCAGGGAGAAATCCCTTCCCAAATTAATCTGCTGAAAATTGGATTAAATGGATTGGAGATCAAGCTCACTTCTGCAGGTTTTCATTTAGGCATGCTGTATCTGGGTCACAGGAGTCCTCACAACCACTAGACTAGATGGTCCCAAAGAAATACAGCAAACTCTAACTCTTGGTTGCCACCTAGTGGTTGCTCATATCTTGGTAGCCCATAGGTACACCTACTTTAATTCACCATTCCAGGTGACTATAAGGCAGCAATGCATAAAGATTTTGCTCATAACAGAAGCTGCTGCTTCATCCTCTCCTGAAGTAGAGACTGCTGAAGTACTTCCAAATAAAAGATCATCTTGGAAATCACTGGACTGCATTTCCCCGTATCTTGTCTACCTACTGGTCAAGCTAATGCAATTTTCTGACCTAACAAGGTAGCAGATACAGGCTGTCTTTATTAGCAGTGGAAAGTTGATCGTCTGTGTTCAATGGATCATGCCTCTGTTCTTTAGAACATAAGTGGGTGCAACCCTTTCCCTGCATAATTTCTGCCTGTTCTGGTTGCTAGAGCTCTGTGATTACTTGTTGCCTGTTCACTGAAGCTTTGCCTATACAGTAGTATCATTCAGCAATCGATTGCTGATTAGTATGGAACAGAAGAAGAAGTAAAGTTGGGGAGTATTAGTGGATAACCATATTGTAACATTAAACATTAATTTAAATGTAAATTAGCTTAAATCTCTCATAGGAGTTGTGAATATGCATGCATGTATAGGTGGTAGCCCAACTCCTTTCTTCTTTGATAACTTACTCAACCTGCACTCTGGTTAATTAGCTACATAGCCTTATTACAATGGCAGAATGATCACTCCACCCCAAAGTCACTTTAGATAAAATATATCCCAATATTGCCCAATTTGGTTAGTGGTTGCTCTCCAGGGCCCCATTAGTCAGACCATTCACATCACCATTCCTGAACCTGGGGTCTGCAGGCTGCATGCAAATTGAGGCTTTGTCACGGAGCTTCAGTCCCTCCTTGAGGGATCCTGTGCCCACCCACCCACCCTTACTGCCTGCTGGTTTAAAAATTTGCTTTGCAGGAAATGTACTAATTTCTCAACAGCAAGAGACCGCTTTGGAAAATTAAAAGGCTAAGTATTTCAAATCCAGTGAAAGCTTCCTTAGTTACAAAAAAATCCCACGTTCTTGCAAATTACCACTGCTGAAAGTGTAAGTCAAATTCCGTTGAAGTAATTATCCATCCCCTCTTCTTGACTTGCCTTCTAGGTATATTTTTGTCTATTGGAATGCAGTTGTGGGAAGTTTTATATCAAAATATATTTTATTCCTTATATTGTCTCCTTCTTCCCTCAAACATTAACAGAATCCACAATGGACCGAGAATCAGCGTCTCCTCTAGATAATTGGCAGTCAAGATGAAAGTAAGTTAATCAAGTAAAAAGGGGGGGAAATCTTTTACTCAAACTTCCTTAAATCCTCAAATAAGTTACTCGGACCTAATCCACATATTAAAGTCTGTAAACACAAATAGATTTAATTAAAATGGTCTCCCAGCGGAACTGCGTGTTCACAAGAATAAACATCATAGATAACATGTAGCTACACACACTCATGCCCCTCAAGTGTCTACACGTATCTACACATACACATTTCCACATCCAGAATAAGCTCCCTTATAAAACAAGTCTCTCTCTCTCTACTCCATTTTCTCTGCCGCTCCCCCCAGAGCAAACCGCTTTGCTTTGGGGAATAAATATTTCTCCTTTCCTCACAGTTGTCTGGATTTCATTTTTATTTATTCTTGTGCAAACCCGGCATGAGTTGGAACCCCAAATTACTCTTCTAATACAGTCTTCTAAGGGAAGATATGATTCTTAATAAATCCCATTCTTTTCCATGAATGCTGCATGTACTCTCCAGGCTTACATAAAGATGCTGTTATTTGAGTAGAAGAGCTGAATCTCCTTTTGCTTAAACTATTTTCTTACAAGGGTTGAAGCTAAAGTGAAACTAATGCAGCAGGTTGGTAGCAAAAACTAGCAGTGTCTAAGAAATAAGCTAACACTTGCAATACTAGAAATCCATTTAGATTAACTAACATTTATTTCTGACATTGACATTTCAAAAGTGAGGAACTCTTAATTCACTCAAGAGACAAATCTGTTGCAACTCCTGTTTTAGTGTTACTTTTGAATTATAATCTCAGTTCAGAGATGAAAGTAGTTCTCCCTTCAGGAACTTACTATTTCCAAGTTCTCCATATTTATTTTTCATTGCCCAATTTCATCACTAACTTTTCTTTCCTTTAAGCCATAAGGGACTCTGATTGGAAAATCTAGGCTTTCTTGAATTCTACTTTATAATGGTTTTTATTGAATTTTTTTCAACAGAATTAAAAACAATACAAATTTTGAATTAAAGAAGAATAAAGTAACAAGTACGGTAGTAATAATAAGAAAGTGAAGAAAATACAAAAGAAAAATGAAAAGATTCTAAAGTAGCTTCCAATCATCTTGACAACAGTTATAGACACATTTATATTTTAATAACATTTATATTTAATATTTAATATTTTAATTGGACTCCAAGGTTATATCATATATTGCATGTATTTGAACCCAGACATTTCTGGATTTTTACAAGTGTATCAGGCATGATAAAATGATCTTTCATGTTGTCCACATTTCCATCAACATAAATTTGAAGTATCTACATACATTATTGATGATTTTTCTGGAACTATATACCAACAGTAAATCATTTTACATTTCCCCCCTTGGGTTTGCATGTATGTGTGTGTGAGTATTTAGTGGTTATTTTGACAAACTTCAAACATTCCTAATTTCTTAGGTCTAGGTAAAGTCATTCTAGCTACTAAGGAGTCGTCATCAAAGCATGAGCTCTGCTATTAAAGAGAGGAAATAATGCTCCTTGCCCTCCCTGTTGCTCTCCCTCTATATCACTAGTGCCAGAGTAATAGCTAGAGCGTCTCACATGGCTTGCATATTAAACATTTTGCTGGAAACATCAGTCTTGGATGCTGTTATGTCCTTATAAGGACATCCGCCTCTTTTCCCTGCGCCGGATCTAACAGATGCCAAGGCACTTCAATGCATTTTCCCAGGATTCTAGTGGCATTAGTGGTAAGGACAGTGAAGCAACACTTCCCACCCCACCATTCTCTGCCACCTCCACCAGAAACCCATGGTTGTTTTAAATCTCAGTAGGCTAAATGGATAGTCAAGGAATAACTCAGTAAATACGGAAGAGGAGACTTTAATGACATGGTTTTACTAGGTCTTGAATCATTTAAATTTACTTCACATTCCTCCCTCCAATTTTACTACATATGTAAGAAGGGGAATACTGGCAAACAGGATCTTCTCCATTCCAGATGCCAAGAGAAAGCCCACCCACCTAACCCCACCACTACTGTATATTGTCATCCCGGCATCTTCCATCTGCAGCGGAGAATGGGCATGGCTGAAAGTGAAGAACTGGGGGAAGGAGTGGGAAGGCATCATAGAAGTGAAACCTCGTCCCCCTCATCCCTCAAACTGTGCTCCATAGTGACTGCAGCAGCAACAGAGGAGGAACAACATCAAGGCAATAATGATAAAGAGATAATAAATCAGTGGGTAATGGGTATGGCTGGATGAAACAGGACCTGTATCTAAAAACTGTTGACAGGTCAGAAATGTAGAGCCATGCCAACGATCTGTCAGCCAGGCAGCTTGACAAGTAGCTTAACCGGCTGTTCCAAGCATCACCTGCCTATGCTTACCCAGCCCTGGCTCATTGCATGCTAAGATAGAGTCATTAGTGTTGTTTTTCCTGCCAGCACCGAATGCTTGGTAAGAAGAACAAAGATGGGAGACTCCAGCAGTTCCTCTCCTTAAGTTGTCCTGCATTGCAATCTGCAAGGAGAGCCCCCGTTTCTGGCCTTCTTCCTGTAACAGAATAAAGATTAAGCCAACATGCTTTTCTGCCAGCCGATGGACTGAAGAACGGACCTCTCTAAAGCAACCGTGTGGAGCTTGTCCTTTGCTGGCATTTTTTCAGCTGTTGAAGAGGGTCGGATGTATTAAACCTTGCAGAGACTTGACTCATCAATTTTACCAATTATACACCCTGATGTCCCACCCAACAGGCTGTTCACCGTCCTATTTGGGGCACGCAGCCTCCCACAGAGCCTGGTGAGGTTTTCAGAAAGTTGCTTGTTCCTACTCTTCAGCCCCTCACTCACCTTGCCGAAGACCTTGTTGAGGAAAGGGGAATAGGCCTTGGTTGCAGCTGCATGAGGGTCATCTTCATGCTTCTTGCTGTGCTTGGTATGAGGGCCCGACTGTGAGCTTTCCTGGGAGGCAGGGTTTTCAGTTTTGCTGTCCTTGGACTCACTGTCATGCCTGGCAGGCCGCTTTCCTTGCTCCACTTTGCCCTCGGCCAGGCCCTCTGTCTCCACTGGCTTCTTGTGTGGCATGGGACAGGTGCGTCTCTCTGAGATAGGCAACCTTGTATGAAGTCTCTGAGCATGAAAGCCAAGGTAATCCTCTTAGATTTCACCCCCAGGAAGGAGCAGAGAGAAAGCTAATAAGAGGGGATTATTATGGCAATTTCAGGGCAGGCTTTAAAGCTGTTCTGGCTATAGGTTCTTCCAGGGTTAGAAGGGAAGAGTTCTAGAGTTCCCATGTGGGAGGGGCCGCAGATAGGAGTGAGCCTGTCTGCTCAAGTATACTCCAATTGAGAAAAATATGTTTACCCCCGTCGTACTGTTGAAGAAACACACAGAACAGCACTAGTACAGGGTTAGGACATATGCCTGGAGAGTTATTATTTTTTTTAGTTCCAGACAGCCACTTTTCCTTGGAACTAGCTACCAGAGGGCCAGTAGTAACTGTGATCAGGATAATCACTTCAATCTCTTTCTGCCTGCTGTCTGTAACTGCTCACCCTTCCCTGGTAATTGTCAATAAGATTAAAGCCAGAATTTCCCCCAAAATAACCCATTTTCTTGGAGGAAACTCTAGATATTCTCATTAAAAGTGATACCTTCTACCACTGTTTTGAGTTTATCTATCAGTGATTCTCCATCACTGAAAAGACAGATTGAATGTATTTTTAAAAGTGGTTTGTACATTTTTTTTAGGTTGAAACTGCATTCACTAAGCATAATCATTATGAATGTTGGATTAGCTAGGACCTTGAACTGATAGTGCTGGAGCCAAAATTTAATGGGGAATACCCATTCTCTCTTCTCCCATTCTTCAAAAGCAAGCTACAGGAAGAACCAGAAATCTAACATTTGAGACAAGAGATCTAATCTTATATTTTAAACTTAGTGAACCTTGGTTTATCTTAAAAACTTAAGAAGGTCAGATCTGTATAGCACTTGGACAAGAAACCCCTAGGAAGTCTGAGACTTAAAGCCAGTGATGAAATGTAAAATTTGTTACTACCGGTTCTGTGGGTGTGGCTTGGTGGGGGGTAATGTGACTGGGTGGCTGTGGCCAACTTTTTTTTTTTATTATTTTTAAAAGCATTTTTTCTACAACCTCATCAGCCGAAGAGGTTGTAAAAAAATGCTTTTAAAAGACTCTGACGATCCCAGCTGAGTTACCTGATCATCAGAGGCTTTTTTTTTCTTTTAAAAGCATTTTTTCTACAACCTCTTTGAGGTTGTAGAAAAAATGCTTTTAAAAGTAAAAAAAATGCTCTGATGATCGTGCGGCTCAGCTGGGCATGGAGGGGGGGGCAGGGGTTTTTGCTACCGGTTCTCCAAACCATCCGCCGCCATCGCTACCAAATTGTTATCAGATCGTGTGATCCGGTCCGAACTGGGAGCATTTCACCCCTGCTTATAGCCTAGACTGTATACGAAGAGGGTTTGTCTGTCTCTCTATTATCTGTCCATCTATCTCAGAAAGGGGTACTGGAAATATCACTTCTATATTTTTGCCAATAAAATTAAATGATTGTGTGCATTATGTTACTAACTATGATGCAATGCAGAGTTTAATATGACTTTTTACTTAGGGAAATAATGCAAAATGGTTTGATAATGCTTTTAGTACAAACCATGTTGCTTCCTCTCCTCCCAATGCCCATTCTGTGTACAGGAATACCTGTTTTGGCTGCTTCTGCTTTTCCTCAGAATGGGACAACTTGCCACAGCCAACTTGCCATGGCCAATTTGCCACAGCCAACCCACCACAGCCAACTCGCCACAGGACAATCAACATGGCCAACTCACCATAGGACAACTTGTTGCAGGGCAATTCAACAATTCAATTATTTAAAATAATTAAAATTATTTTAATTTTTGTTATTCACATTTCATTTTGTCCTTCCGTTGGCATCCTTTCTTTAATGATTCTATTCCATTATTTCTTTGATATTTGTATTATTCTTGTTCGCCGTGATGAGTTGTCCTGCGGCGAATTGGCCATGGTGAGTTGGCTGCAACAAGTTGGCTGTGATGAGTTGGTCACGGCAAGTTGTTGTAGACCGGCTTTTCCTACCTCAAGTTTCACAACTACCTAATCCATCCACCATTCTCTGAAGCCATCTCTTCTAGAGTCTCTCCTACATTCCTAATGACTCCAACCTCCCACATCCCAGCCATGCAACACTGTTTTCCCATTGATTCTTCTATATCTCAAATCCTCCCGACCTGCTTTTCGTGGTTCTGGTTCCCCAGTCTCCTTTTGGATTGGGAAAGCAGTTGTTTCTTCCACCTATTTTAGTAAAGAAATAAATCTGTATTACGTTTTTTAATTGGCAGGGGGCACTACATCACTGAGCTCTGAGCAGCACCATCTGTTCTTCAAGAAAAAAAATGCAGGGTTGGGTTGTTTGGCTTATTTTTGTCATTAGTAATGGCTATATAGATGTTTAATTCAATTCCAAGCAGATGCATTGGAGGACATGGGAATGCATAGATAGCATCTGTCTGCCACTCTTTAAAGCAGCTCAAGTTGCAAACAGGTGCTACAATGCCTGTTTTTAAAAACTTTTTCAGAATCTATTCCTAACCTATTAAAAAAATAAATATTTTTTAAAAGAGTAAAATATTCTTGTAGAGCCAGTTTGGTGTAATGGTTAAGGTATCAGGCCACAAACCAGGAGACTGAGTTCATGTCCCAACTTGGGCACAAAAGCAGCAGGTAACCTCGGCCTCTCTCTCTGATTTTGGTATTGTAAAGTGGCCTTGCCCATTTTTAGGATGGTTTACAAAATATCACAAATATCATATAGCCCATAGAAATTACTAATTCCTTGCAACCCAGGTTTAAAATTGGTTTAAAATTAGCTAGAACTCAGGCTGGACTACCTTGTTTTAAGATAATCTTATCCAATCGGAGAGTCTGAGGGAAAATACTTTTAGCTTCACTGATTATAGTGATATCCAAATTTTCAATTACACCCCCCCAAAGCTCAGTTAAATTGATTGCTTTATCATTAGATCGATGAAGTCATCACCAGTTGCACAAAGAACAAAAGTTACAGTAATTAAAATGAAAAAGAAGTGATGCTACTTTGATGCTAAAAGAATACATTTGAAAGTTTATTGTGTATTATATTTGCTTTTACATCCTACATTTTGCAATTCTCTGCCCAACGTAGTTTTTCTTGGTTAGACTGAAAACAGATGGCTCTGAATAGCTCATGAGCAGTTTGTACCCTGATTCATTTAAAAGCATTTTTCAAAGATCACATACATTACATTATAATTGACTATACTGACACACATTTTAACTGATTAGGCTCCAAAAACCCAAGTATTTTTTTAGCATACATGGGCATTGGACTGCATTTTATTTCACTTCAATAAAAATATCACTGTTGTATATTTTTTAACTGCAGCAACATCTATAGCAACAAATAAATTTCATTCTTGAGTTTGGGAAGCTCTTTTCATTTGTAGTTTCTGCATTTTAGTTTTGTACTGAGGCATCCAGTTGTATAATTGTAGTTTGTAAAGACTTCTTTCCTCCTTTCTAGTCACTTTGGCATCAAAAGGATTTATCATAAAGCATACAAAATTTACTCAGAAATAAACATAACTAAGTTCTGTGAGGCTATTCCTGATACATAACAACCTGAGTGAACACATGCATTTTTGCATGCTAGGGAAGATTTTTAAAGAATGTTTTGTATTTTTATGATTGACTGAGATAGCCTTTATATTGTTTATCTTAACATAGGAAACACTTTTTAGCTGAAGCCTGGAGAATCTCTGTTCTTCTTCATTATTTCAATGACTTTGAAGTTTTATCTCAGTTATTTAAAGGAATTGTATGTTAATAAAACAACCTCAAGGGAAGGAGGATAGGTATTTATAGTAGTACGTGTCAATTAGTTTCCATCAAGATGTGAATGTAATTATCAACAACAGTTTCATGAGTGCTGTTATAATATAGATATCACTATTCCTACTTTATTTTTTAGTTTTCTGACCAGCTTTCAACACCTCTCTCCTACAACCATTGATCCACTTACATATGGAGTTGCAACATATAATCACCTTTCATGCCAAATAACATTATATGCAATGATAAAGACTATGATATAGTCTTTAAAAGTTGCAAAACTATGGCTGCGGCAGATTTTGACTGCTTTATGAACTCAATCACTTTTTTATAAATAATGGTTTGCAACATACAGTATTGTATCAGTTCAGCTACTTGTGACTTAGTCAACAAAGTATGGTTAAACAAACCATCAATTAATTACAAGTGTAGCAGATTACTATGTGGTGTAATGGAACTCAATTGAGTTAAGTGGCTTTGCTTCTGTGTTGTGCAGTTTTGTTCTTCCCACCCATCCTCCTATCCGCCATTCCTTTCATAAAACTTAGTGATTGCTGAATGCTGGTCTGAGAAGGCTAAAATAATTATCAGGTAAAAGGCAATAATGAATCTATGTTATGACTGGATGACATTTAAATAAAGCCAAATGCACATTGCTGAGTGCTGAAGATCATGATGCATTTAAAGCAAGAAACACACATTTATAATTATTTTCCTTAGATGGTGGGGGACCGGTAGCTTTTCAGATATGCCTAATAACATTCTTGGCTGTCACTGCATTTTTGTATTTGTCAGCTGGGCTCCCATTCTGAGATTTACGGTAGACTGATCTGACTCTTATCTCAGAAGCCACTGCACATGTCCACATTCCTTCTTTCACATTCTTTCACTTTCTTCTAACTTTCTTTGTTCGCCTGCCAAGAGGTACGGCAGGAATGCTGCCAAGATGTAATCATTAGCTAGTAAGACTGTTTTTACTTTCTTTATAATAAAATGTGTTTATTAGAATATATCTTGGGTTTATTTTCTTAAGTATACTTCAAGGAAAAAGCCACGATTGATTCTCTAATTAAGGTGCAATTACCCAAAAGTAGAATGGGATTAATTGCCACCCTTACATTGGCAACCCCAGTTCACAAGACTAATGTCAAAGGCATCAAGAGTTTGCTAACAACAATTGTTATCACTTTCCTGCTTTCCAGATTTCTTTTGGTTGAGGATATCTCTTAACCACATGGCAAGTTTTATTTGTTACATATACTATATCCAGATTCCTACATTTACTGCATTTAATAAAGGAAGTTTATTTCACCCTTTTTAAAATGCATAAGGTAAAGGTAAAGATTTCCCTCGCACATATGTGCTAGTCGTTCCCGACTCTAGGGGCCGGTGCTCATCTTTGTTTCAAAGCCAAAGAGCCAGTGCTGTCCAAAGACGTCTCCGTGGTCATGTGGCCGGCATGACTAAATGCCAAAGGTGCACGGAACACTGTTTCCTTCCCACCAAAGGTGGTCCCTATTTTTCTACTTGCATTTTTTACGTGCTTTCGAACTGCTAGGTTGGCAGAAGCTGGGACAAGTAACGGGAGCTCACCCTGTTACACGGCATTAGGGATTCGAACTGCTGAACTGCCGACCTTTCAATCAACAAGCTCAGCGTCTTAGCCACTGAGCAACCGTGTCCCAGTAAATGCATACTTCTGATCAATTTGTACAATAGAGCAGAATGCTGTTTATTCTAATTTAGGAGATTATGGATTAAAGATTTAAGTGATTACAGCTGTGTAAGCTTATACATGTGGACTGGCCTATGCAAGGGTGCAGTTTAATGGAACAGTCAAAATATTTAAGATGGAAGCTACATAAAGAGTTTTTACTTTAAGGATCTTATAGGCAGTCATATGTTCCTTTAATGTTATGCTACAATTATGTAGGATAAATTTATTGTGAGCTGCCTAAAATCCAGCGAGGAAGCAGCATATAAAGTAGTGCAACTAATAAGTATGTGTACTATGCTTAGCAAGCAACCTACCAAACACATTCTTTTGTGGTCTGGAATGATATATACACAACAGAGCCTCATTCCTTTTTTGCCCACCTCTAGTGATAAAATTTCATGTTCAAAAAGTTTTTCCTGACAGTAGATAAATTTGTACCAACATGATCTGTGAACTTTTCTTAATCAACAAAATTATTTACATGAATGTTGCACAGATATATCAAGTAGACTACATTTGAAAATATTCTTGGGATTATAGTGTTGGTACATGAATTCAGAGGGAACTATCAACCATTGATCAATGCATGTCTCAGTGGGTTTTGGGTTGTTGTTGTTTTGTATCATTGGCAGGCAAGAAAAGAACAAGGGCCAACAGAAATTCACTGTCACCTTCATATCTCCTGTTGTTCCTACTTGAGGGAGACATGATAGCTGCACTTAGATATTTAAAGAGAAATTACAAGGAAGTTGGCCAAGAATTTTATTTCCATGGCCTTAGAAACTGAAATACTGAGTATACAAGTAGCCATCGACTTAGGATAAGGTGACCAGATTTTAACATTGGTAAAGAGGGACATTGTGGGCGTGACTTATTTTGTGGGCGTGGCTAGCTGGTCATGTGACCGGGTGGCCATGGCTATGTCTATAGGGTAAGGTGAACAGATTTTAACATTGGTAAGAAGGACACCATTGTGGGCGTGGCTTATTGTGTGGGCGTGGCTTGGAGGCCATGTGACTGGGTGGGCGTGGCTACCTGGTCATGTGACCGGGTGGCCATGGCTATGTGTATAGGGACTACTCAGAGGGCTGAAAAGTCATTTCTGACAGGTCCTCACACTTTTGACTGGTCCTCACACTTATGACCATCCTCACATTTATGCCCGTGCAGCATTTTTAACAACCATGTCACTCATTTCACAACTGCTTCTCTTCAACAAGGTGACAAGATAGGGCAAAAATGTAAAATGTGAGGACAGTCGTAAGTTCGAGGACTGGTCAAAAGTGTGAGGACCAGTCAAAAATAACTTTTTCAGCCCTCTGAGTAGTCCATATGCACAAAAGGACTAACCAGAGGGCTGAAAAAAGTCATTTCTGACAGGTCCTCGCACTTTTGACTGGTCCTCACACTTATGACCATCCTCACATTTATGCCCGTGCAGCATTCTTAACAACCATGTCACTCATTTCACAACTGCTTCTCTTCAACATGGTGACAAGATAGGGCAAAAATGTAAAATGTGAGGACAGTCGTAAGTTCGAAGACTGGTCAAAAGTGTGAGGACCAGTCAAAAATAACTTTTTCAGCCCTCTGAGTAGTCCATATGCATTAAAGGATTACAGCAATAGAGAGGGATGAAGGAATGGAAATTAGAGTAGGAGTGAGGGTAAGAGAGGGAGGAAGAGAGGA